GCGAAAAAAGTACAGGGCGATCACTCTCCAAAAATAAGCCCGTGTCACAAGCTACTTATGCCCTACAACTGATTTATTTGCCATGGAAACTTACCGCTTCTGTACACAACAAGCCCCTAAATGAGCTTAAAGTGGATATGGAACACCTCATCTCCTGAACACTAAGTGGCTTCCAGAACCCAGTTTTAGTCCGGTTTTATTTATTTATTCCTGTGGTCAAAAGTCTTTTTGGGTTAATTTTCTCTATTCTTTTTAGAACATCCGATCATCAAATTCTAGACAAAAAGAATTACACCGAATTTTCTTTTAAAGCATTCAGAGCTAAAATCAGATTTCACACTAACCCCGGGCTATCTTAAACCTGCTTTGAACAACCCGGCCAACACCATCATCTCACGGAATGAGAAGAGAATTTGGTTTCGAAAAAATCTTCGTGAAAACACCCGAAATCACTCAAAAAATATCAAATTTCTACTTGTCTAATAACATTCAATCCCACCCATCAGCCCCTTTCCTGCATTTACCATCGCGCACGCTTACCGGGGCGGTTTGATTTCTGTCTCTTCGTTGGGAAACTTTACACGGGCCTCTTCCTCGTCTAGTTTCGCCTGTGCAACGGTTTCATGTTCCAGCTAATGAGAGAGAATTGTTGAAAATTTTACCTAAAAAGCCTCCAGTTCTGTACGAAAATGTCTTGTCGTATAAAGATTCGTCACAAAACACGGGAATCAAACACCAAAATGTACAAACCTTGGGGATCGATTCACCATCTGAGCAACTGCACAGTTACCCCCTCCCTAACGTAACATTAGCCCCAATTTGTTAGCAGCGATTGATTTTAGTTAGGGTAGGGGAGGACTTGTTTCCAAAGCTGGAGACAAATCCGGGCAATATTTCGGATTGTATGATGTCATACACCATCAGAATTGTAAAACAAAACACTAAGCTGCCCTTCTCTAACCTGTTTCTGCATTAGTGTCCGCATATGATCTTGAACTTCGCTTAACTTCGCATCCAGAATTTCGTCGAGTTCTGGTATACTGCGGTCTCTAAATTAACCAAAGAAAAAAAGAAAAATGGACTAAATATGGTGTAACTCATTTGAAACAACCAATACAAGGCATTCCTTTACGTTAAGTCCTCTTATACAACTGAACCAATTAGCTTGTTTACTTACGCTTTAGTGAGAGGTACTCCATCCACAGCCTCAGGAAAGAACCTGTGTTTCATGTTCAGAGGCGAGCGAGGCTGGGTTTTGTCTGGCGACGGACGGCCTGGGTCCTTCAAGTGGGCCTCTATAAGGTCCTAATGTAAAACAGAATGACAACAAAATTAAAAAGAAAAAAAAAAACAGTAAAGAAGAGATCCACGCAGGTGAGCTGAAATTGAAGAAATTGCAGAAAGGATCAGCAGCAGATCTCATAATTATTCAAAATTACCCGCAATTCATTAAAGAAACTCTTGGTTTCAACAACCAACAGACCCAAACGAATTCATGGCGACGAATGACGTAAATCAAATCCCTATAGTTGTATTACATTATATCCATTACAGCGCACTACACAGATGAGGCTTCGCCTAAAAGGACTTGTCCATCCGCCAGCGTTAAGCGAATGTGATCAAGTGAATTCAACAAAGTCACAGGCGGGGCTTTTCGCAAGAAGTTGATACAAACTCACAGCGAGATGAAGAAAATGGATGACCAGAAGAAAATTTAACCCTTTAACTCCCTGAATTGATTAACTTGTAATTTCTCCCTCTAATATCCATACATTACACAGAAAACAGTTAATGAAAATTGACAAACTTAGCAGTGAAGTTGAAGTTGTTGTTTTGACCAAATTCTCCTATCTAGTTTACAAGGAAACATGCAGCACCTAGAGGGGAGAATTAACAACCAGATCTTGGAAGCTTAAGGGTTAACTATGTGGCCATGAGCTGGAAGGGAAAATCACTTTCAAACAAAAACAACCCAAAGGTAAATATGCAAAATTAAAATAAATAACCGCACATTTTTCTCCCTAGAGAACTGTCGCAGCTGCATCGTCCAGACATATCGACCAGCCGGGCCGCGTACAACTGATGACAAAGTCGGTAACGGGTCTGGAAAATAAATACACGAGAAAAAGATAGAGAACACGAAGTACAGAGGGGATAATATGCAGCGTAATAAAACAATCACAGAAGTCACATTATTTGACGAGAAAAACGCGATACTTTTTGCGATAATAACGTAGTGGCAGGAACAGCAGACTTTTTATAGTCTTTTAATCATAAAAAGGGGACAATTTCTTGAAACAACGGTCAATGTGCAAATTTAAAAGCACACAAAGAGCACAATCAAGCTTCTGTAACCTGTTTTTTCGAAGTATTTCAAATGAATCTAACAGTCTCAAATAACGGAGATATATATCATAAATTGCACGCCAAATTTAATGCAGAGCTTTCTCAAACCATATTGATGTGTGCTATTCTGGCAGGGTCCCAAGCTGAGCTCACCCACCTCCCCCACATTCCTTCTTTCGAGGATGCAGCATCCCCCGTTGAAATTCCAACCTCCACTCACTCCCATGAGGGACATTACAGTAAAGGAGAGTGGTTAATTACCTTTCTCTTTCAAAGATTCTTCCAGTAATCCCATGATCATGCAACTGTCCTGTATCACATAGTACTGGAACTTGCGACGGGTCTACATAAATAAAAATATCTTACAATCAATTGGATTACATAATGTTTTGAGCAGCAGATTGTATACAAGTAATGAAATGATCCTCAGTGGTGAACGGCAATTGAAAATATCGCCAAGAAGAGGCCTGAAAAAGTTTAGGCGTCATTTTAGGCGCATACCAGAACGCTCTAAAATATGCCTCGCTCTCAAAAAGACGCTTCGTCGTTCTGTTGGCAGTAGCATTCTATTTCCATATTTTCTGTATCCCTTTATCCCAGTTATTTCTATCTCAGTGTGCTAACAGAGTTCTTTATATGCGTTATCTTTGCTCTTGTTTTTGTGATATTTCTGTTCTACCTTAACAAGCGCCCCCTCGATTAAGTGCCCCTCGATTAAGCGCCTTCTCGATTAAGCGCCCCCTCGATTAAGGGTCCCCTTGATTAAGCGCCCCCTCGATTAAGGGCCCCCTCGATTAAGCGCCCCCTCGATTAAGAGCCCCCTCGATTAAGGGCCCCCTCGATTAATGGTCCCCTCGATTAAGCGCCCCCTCGATTAAGGGCCCCCTCGATTAAGCGCCCTCCTTTCAACGAGCGCCCCCCTCACCCTTCCCACCACTCCCTTTCGACCAATATTTTGAATATGCGCACGGGCGACGAGGAAAGACGGTATTCAAAATATTTCCATAAGAGACCGCGTTAGTTCTGTTCTGCGGCGCATTTACCTTTCTTGATGAATCGTTCGACTGAACGTGGTTCAACACCCATTCCTCGTCCAGCAGAGAAGATAACGCCGCTGGACCACAAGGGGATGGAAACGCGCCCTGTTAAAGACAGCGGTCGGAGAAGAGTAAAACAAGAACGAAATAGGGAGAAGGTAACAAAGATACGATAAGTGAGGCTAGATCCAAAAATAATTGTGCGAAAGTTTGGCCTGCGATTATGGATTTCGGAACAAAGAACACGCGTTATCTTGGTAAACGTCCACAACGACTTTTGACATGAGCACATACAAAATACACGAGGCATTTCACCTTTACAAGCAGGTCAAAAAAGAAGGCTTGACCGGAAACTATTTACATACCAAGTGTTCCATGATGACTGTTAGCATTCCTTCAGCAGCTTCTCTTACACGGAATGAAACTGGTTTTAATTCTTTATCACCTGAAAGACGCAGAAACGTTACTCTATCAGTAAAATGACAAGGAGGCGTTCAGACAGCGAGTGAATTGTGGACGAGCGCGTAACTGAACAGTTCTTCGGACGATTCTTTTTGTTTCATCGCGCATCGTCACTGAAGACAATCTCTCGCATGATTATCGTGGCAGCGAACAACTATGCCTCCCTATCGGTTTAATAAATAGCTTTTTCTTTTTTTAATCAACAGTGTAAGAATACTAAGATAGCGAAAAACCCTCCAGTGCTTTATTTTCTTTAGTTACAACGGTAGCGATGTCCACTGTCATACCTTTCAGACGGGGAACCGCGTCTGTTCCCAACTGTGGGTCCTGAGTAGAACGAAATTAAGACAATTCGTCAAGACGTAGTTTGAATATTTCTCACAAGAAAGGAAGAAAGAAGCATCTCAATCTGAGACTTTTCTCGCTCTTTACACCAAAAGTCTTCGCGTCCTTGAACCGGCCCCATAATTACCTGCACACGGATTCAGTCGTATTTTTCATGCGCTTGACACCAGATTTTTGTTTTTATACTGTTCGTTTTCCCACCCTCGATACTGTGTGCATGTTTTTTTTTTCTTTCGTTTTTCCCCATTTCTTCGAAGTACTTGGCTAGATATGCTTACGGCCTTTAAGCTAGTAACCCTTTCAGCAGAATGCAGACAGTCTCCTTTTTGTTGCTTGAAACATGAGAATTTTTTTTTTTCATATGGCTCATAAAGCCCTGTACGAGCTCTAATTGCTGCAAAAATATAAACAGCACGTAACATTTTACAAAAGCTTCTTAACCCTTAAAATTTGTAGTATTCTACTAACTCTTGAAATTTCGTTCGACTTGCTTCCTGAAATTCCCAACTCAACTACTTCCATAACGACATGCAAGCAACCCTGGAATGAGACCAAAACAACATAGAGAAAGTTATCAAGTACGCGGGTGAGCAGAAAGACGCACTTTACTAGAAACATGAAATACCTTCCTTCAAAGCACTACTTTGAAATTATTCTGCAACTTAAACATGTTCGCTAAATTTCTATTTGCTAAGTAAAGCTACGTTTCTTCAAACTGACTAAATACCGCGAGGCTTTTATTCAGTAATCCAAACGGATTTTAGTTTGTTGACGGGTGCCAAACAACCCGCCAAACAGACGACTGACAAACTGGCACGGAATGCCAGACTAACACACAAACTCACTGATGCACTGACTGACTAACTGACTGACAAACAAGCTCACTGACAAACAAGCTCACTGACAAACAAGCTCACTGACAAACAAGCTCACTGACAAACAAGCTCACTGACAAACAAGCTCACTGACACACTGACTGACTAACAGACTTACTGAACCACGGACTGACTGATTAACTGACATACAAAGTGATTAAGAGACTGACTTTCTGACTGATCAACAGTGACTTACTAAAAGACCGCTGACAGACTAAAAGACTGACAAACTGACTTACTAACAGACCGCTGACAGACAAAACTGACTTACACAAAGACGGACGGACATATTAATGGTTCATTAGTCAGTCTGTCAGTCGACCAGCCTTATTACCTGGCTGTCCAAGAGCCATGGATGTGACATTATCCAGGATTGAAGGCAGCTGAAAGCAGCCACGATCATGGAGTGAAGATCACGTGAGTGGTGTATTGCCTTCTTATTGGCTTGGTAAGTGATGTAATCGCACAGCCAATGGATTGTACTCTTACACTCAGCTTGATCTAANAAACAAGCTCACTGACAAACAAGCTCACTGACAAACAAGCTCACTGACAAACAAGCTCACTGACAAACAAGCTCACTGACAAACAAGCTCACTGACAAACAAGCTCACTGACAAACAAGCTCACTGACAAACAAGCTCACTGACAAACAAGCTCACTGACAAACAAGCTCACTGACAAACAAGCTCACTGACAAACAAGCTCACTGACAAACAAGCTCACTGACAAACAAGCTCACTGACAAACAAGCTCACTGACAAACAAGCTCACTGACAAACAAGCTCACTGACAAACAAGCTCACTGACAAACAAGCTCACTGACAAACAAGCTCACTGACAAACAAGGTCACTGACAAACAAGCTCACTGACAAACAAGCTCACTGACACACTGACTGACTAACAGACTTACTGAACCACGGACTGACTGATTAACTGACATACAAAGTGATTAAGAGACTGACTTTCTGACTGATCAACAGTGACTTACTAAAAGACCGCTGACAGACTAAAAGACTGACAAACTGACTTACTAACAGACCGCTGACAGACAAAACTGACTTACACAAAGACGGACGGACATATTAATGGTTCATTAGTCAGTCTGTCAGTCGACCAGCCTTATTACCTGGCTGTCCAAGAGCCATGGATGTGACATTATCCAGGATTGAAGGCAGCTGAAAGCAGCCACGATCATGGAGTGAAGATCACGTGAGTGGTGTATTGCCTTCTTATTGGCTTGGTAAGTGATGTAATCGCACAGCCAATGGATTGTACTCTTACACTCAGCTTGATCTAAAAGAGAGTAAACAAATCAAGACTGTGAAAGTGATCCTTGCAGTAATGAACCCTAGTTATGTAGTGGTGGAAATAAGGCTTGAAAAAATTTCAGGCCCGTACGGGATTTAAACCCATGACCACTGCGATACCGGTGCAGTGCTCTGCCAACTAAGCTAACAAGCCAGCTGGGAGCTACACGGGTTTAATACAAGCCAACATAACGACCTACTTAATGACCAGCTCCCAGTTGGCAAACAAACAAACAAAAAATCAAACAGACCAACAAAGAGAGAGAGAGAGTGAGTCTTGGGGACAGTTACCACCGAGGAAACTACGACGAGTTTGGTTAATTGACGTTGCAATGATGCGAAAATATTTTGTTTGGTTATACTTGTGCAATCAAAATGAGTAAGTATTGCTCAACCTCTTTCCTTTTTCAGTACGCAGTTGCATTAAAACTCAGAAGAAGACCTTGCCTAATACGTTGACTTCAAACTTTGAAAATAAGGAAAATACTGCAGACTACCTGCAACACAACAAACTACTCACCCAGGTGACCCATACTGAGCTGTGCCAAGCCAGACAGCAGCTCAAAGGCAGCCAAAGTGATGTGAACGTCAGTTTTCCAACGGCTGCTTCGGATCACAACCAGCTTGTTACATAGAAGGTGCGTCAACTGTACAAACAGACCTTGAATAGTTGAAAGATCTGAGAAAAATCAAAGCATTGAAAACAATGTTTAACAGTTGACACAAGACTAACGGGCTGGGGGGGGGTGTGTGTTACTTTAGAACTTTATAGCAAACATGTTATTACACCGATACGCACCATAAGATTTGTACTGAATCCTACTGCCACCGTCTGCTTCACTGGTGCTTCCTGTGTCAGACACTGAGCTACTTCCAGTGCTTGCGCGACGCCTGTTGTCCTCGGAAGCCTGTGGCTTTTCCACTCCATGACTTACAGATTCTACCTCAGGAGAGGAGGAAATCCCAAGGGATTCAGCAGTCTCACTGTCTTGAATCAGCAGAGACATTCCTGTGAATTGACAAATACATAGATTGATATTAAATATATATATCTTATTAACCTCTGAATGCCCGAGTCGTGTAATAAATAGATAAATTGATAAACTGACAGATAAATACATGGTAAATACTGTATGAGGAGCGTGGCACTGTAAGAGTAAAGAAAGAAGGCCACAAGTTTATCAGTTTGTAACTGTTTAGTGCTACCCTCCATAAATCAAGTCTTATTGTAAACTATTATTAGCATTATCACTAGTATCACGACGATAATTAGAGTAATCTTGCCGAGAACACAATTTATAACATAATGAACAGAGTACGCATCATCTGATTGGTCAATTCAGCTTCCAAGCGGATGCTTTATCAGGTTATAGAGCCAGTATATAACTAGTTATGTCATAAAAGCAATAGAACGCAAATTTCCCGTGCCCTATAAGGTAATTTAAAGCCACTTAAGATGTTGGGAGAACACTAGGAAAGCTTTTAAATCATGAGCCGAACCCGTGTGGCTTTATCATGTTACAGAGCCCTGAGAAAATGTATTCTTTTGCTTAAAAAAGTAGAGTCTTGCCCAGGAACACCATTTCTGACCTGGCCTCGAACCCAGACCAATCACTGCTATTGTCACAGGGAAGAATGTCTGCAGTTTCAGAACTAGTATTGTTAGAACTGCTTGCCAAAAAGTTAAGTTCAATTTGGAGTTTTCCTTCAGCCCCTTGCTAGAAATTTAAAGATGGTATCATCCTCCAGAATTTAAGCTTTCCACTGTATTACAAACCTCCCAAAAGAATATGAACATTAAATGAGTCAGTTTCACACTGAAGAGCTTCCAACAACAGTCGGATGAGCCTAGGCTTCAAGGAGATGAATGTCACAGACTGGTGTTCATCCTTCCCATCCTTCCCAGCGGCATGCTTCCTTCTCCATCCTGCTGTCATGTCTATAGTAAGAACATGATACGAAACAGCTTGTCACAAAAAGAGGATAACTTTAAAATGTACACTGTGTCATACATGACTAAGTTTATTGCAAAATGTAGGATGGTTTGTCCAGTTTTTAATGAAAACTAATGTTAACACTTTGATTGGAACAATTTTAATGGGCCATTTTACAGTTGTGTACTTAGTTGCCAAGCCTTTTATATGAAGTGAGGTTGAAGATGACTTTGTTGTGATAGAGACCAGTATCTAGTTAGCATGATAACAAAGTAATTTATCGTATATGTGCATGATCCTTCGCAGTAAAGCACTATTTGAGCAATAGTGAAAATCAGACCTGAAAAGAATTTCAGGCCTGTACGGGATTCGAACCACTGACCTGAATAGTAGCAACATTTGTTTCATAACAAGGTCACCCTTACCCTCCCTCCTGTTCGAAGGCTTGGCGACGAAGCACACAACTGTAAAATGGACTATCAAGTGTCTGAAATAATCGAAGGCTGATTTGGGTTTGCTTTCTCTGGGTACTATGCCTTATGATTGTTCCAGAAAACTCCCACTACTTCCCCACCAATCAAAAGCAATGAAAAAATGAATTGCGACTTGTTTTGACTTTGTGATGTTCTCCTCTGTTCTCATTGGCTACTATGATTGCATTATCATGAAACTCACTGGAATCCTGAGCTTTTTTGATTAACGAACACTCTGTGATTGTCCAGAAAATTCCCTTACTTCCTCAACCAATCAGATTCAAAACTAAAATCAAGTGCGACTCTTCCATTACCATTTTCGAACACTTAGAGTAGTTTTCTTGTTTTTAACTTGGATCCTAATTGGCTTCTTTAAATATTTTCCTTTTTTTCTGATTGGCCATTATGATCACTTTGATTTCATTTTGTGACACTCAATTGAAACAGGCTTTATCAATCGTGAATAATCATTTCTCAATTAACCTTTTATGTCAAGATCCTGAAAATGCAGCGGTAAGCAAAGCATGGATAACAAGAGCTGGATGGCAGCTCTACGAAGTTCAGTGGTAGACACAGTACACCTGAGTGAATTAATCAAAAGGAAAAAAGGATAAATATTTAACCCTTTACACACTAACATGGGTATCTATATTACATGGTTACATCATGTAAATTACTGGTTCACTGACTGAACTAAAGATGGGGTGACTCTCTCTCTAAATAATTACTGACTGGTTAACTGGAAAAGGCATAGGCTATAAATCCTGCCACTACTGACTTGTAAAGATTTTAAAGGACTCAGGGGTTACAATTAAAGTCTGTTACTGCAGCGGTAGAGCCAGTCCTTAAGCTGAAGGGGGGCTTAGTTGTTTTGAATGTGTGCGTACACCTGTGGCTTTTCTTCCTTCCGTGATGTTTTTTTTCTCACAATAAGGGGCCCCCACCCTAGATCTGCCACTGTACTGGGAGTCTAACATCCTCTACATGACCTCTTACCACCATCTGTTTAGCCTGGGAGCTGGCTGTTGTGTCTGGGTTTTGCCTTACATCCCCTTTCCAGGCACAGCCCTGTCTTAAACCATCAGTACCTGTTTGTGGACTATTGAGCTCGGCTACAGGCTGACTTACTGATCAAACGGAGATATAGGTGTATACTGTACTTGGATGAACAGAGTAATATTGCTGTCTATATATCTGATGGACTACAATAACTAACTGCATACCTGAACTGGAACTCATTTCTTGGTTCCAACATTACTGGTACACTAAGTGTGGTGATGACACCTGTTAACAACCCTTTGACTTTCGGCATGTCTAATCCCAATTGATCAGCTGATTTCACTAACAATGATTCACTAAATTGTTTTTCGAAGAAAAAAACAACAACAAATTTTTTGTAGTAGATTTGTTGCTATTGGTATTGCCTTGTAATGTGCAGTGTTAAGAGGAGGGATACCCTGGTTATTGTGAGACTTTTCAAAAACAGACTAGTAAGTGACTGATACACTATTGACCCACTTATGTGAAGGGGGTAAGTTTCTAAAAGAAACTGTCAGTGGTGCCATGTCTGTGAGGGGTCAGTACAAAATGATTTGATTTTATCAACTGAGTTGATAATGTGAAATTGACACTGCCTGCCTGTTTGTCTGTCTTTCTGACAGGCTAATTGTCACTGAAACTGACCAACTGATTGATCGACAGACCAAATCACTGACTGATTGACTAAAAAAATAACTGACTCGTTAGATAACTGATCAACCAATGCCAGTTTTTAAGCCCTCCAAGCACTTAATACTCCAAAAATTCAGTTTTAATTCACTTATCAGAGTTCTTCTTCCAATTCAATAGGCTATTATTAATTTCCACCATTGACACATCTGATCACAGCCTATTATGAAATGAAATATAGCTTTTCCCAAAACTGGCAAGAACCTTTATCAATAAGATTGTTCTACCTGATTTGGATGTCATTTCTGGGCAGTACAGTTTCTAGTGCCGTAATAAGGTGTGGTAACAACACCTGGACTCCCTGTAGGTCCACTCTCAACAGATCAGCTGAGTTCAGTAATATGCTACAGAGCACATGACCAGTGCAGGACTAAAAGAAATCATGAAAAAATCATCTTCTATGATCATACAGTGCAAACAAATACAGTTTTATGCACACACTCCATGCTGCTTTCTAAACTGACTGCATCTAGTTTGATGGCCAGCAAAAAATTGTATGCACATAAATTTTGGTTATTAATTGATACTGGCACTCTTGGAAATTGTTTATGCTGATCGCAGTAATATGCCACTTAACTTAGTCCCCAGACTATGTCAAAAAATCATGCATAGCCGAATAAAGCAAGCTACATGTATCTAGAAAAAAGTTATGTACAGTCCCTGAACCACATGATTCTTCTCTATAAGATGACAGTGCAAAAAACAATAACAAGGCTTCTGCATACTAGGGAAATTAAATTCAGCACATAAAATACCAATTTTATTACAGCAGCCACTTTTTTAAGCGTGTCCACATTTAAATAGTAGATGGCTCCTGGGAAGGACCAAAAACCAATCTCTTCTAAGACACACATGAGTTAAAATCTTCTTACCTCTGAATATAACAACCCAATGGCCAAAGCTAAATAAAACCTGGAAAGATAGACAGGGCGAACTTCCTGACCAGAGCAATGGCTACAAAAGATACGGCACAGGGCACCATAAGCTTCAGCTCTGCCTGGTTCATATCTGCTGTCCATAGCCTGGCCACCCATCTCAACACTACAGATTCAAAGTTAATCCCTTTACTCTACTAAGTGATTAACATGTAACTTTTCCTACATGTAAACAGGTAATGAGAATACTAAAATCTGTCATATGTTATTTTAATCTAACAAATAAACTCCTATTAGCAAATAGAATAAGAAAGCTGGTCAATTTTGAGCATATGGTAAATAAATAGCAGCAGAGGATGTTTTTTGTCTTGTCATGCAGCTGGGATGGGGGTTTGATTCCTCATGGGGAATCAGAATTTTTTTCTTTCTTTTTTGTACAAGGCTTTAAATGGATACTTAAATGTGGATGTTTTTCGGTTTTTGAATTTTTATTCTCGGGAGGATCCGTATAGATTTAGACATGTTGATGACTATTCCTTGAAGATGAATTTTGCAAGAACGACTAATTTTAAATCCACTTATTTTAATAGAATTGTTGAATGTGGAATTCGATACTCTTAGATATTAGATTATCTCCTAGTCTTGCAGTTTTTAAGTCTAGAGTGAGGAATTTTTAAGTATAAGGAACATTGACATTTTTATTTTTGATCTAAAATTCTTCAGTCCGTCTTTATATTTGACTTATTTAGATTAGCTACACTGTGATCTGTCTTGCATGGAGTGCTCCACTATTTTACAGATTACCCTTATGGCTTTGCTGTTTGTACATTTAGATTTATTTATTTGTCATCATTGCCCTTAAATTGTAATAAATTTAAAATTTTGACCCTGACAAATTTTGCTAAACAAATTCTTGTTACTAATTTACACTGAAATGTGTAGCAGCTTTAGGGGATGATAAAAAATCAGATCTTGGGAGCTTAAGGTGTAAACACCTACCGTAATTCTATGACTTGTAAATCATTCTAGACAGTAAGAATTTCAATAATAATTATTATGTTTGTGAATCTCATAAGTTGACTCAAATGAGCTGACCATGGGATTATAATAAGAACAAATCATTTCCAGATAAATGCACAAAATCAAATATTGAAACTTGTCTTTAAAATGTGATTTTCTTGAGAAACTGAATTTGCAAATTTTGCAGATAACAATCCACATACCCTGTTTTGATTCCTCCTGCTGCATCAGCTTGACCAGAATTGGTAACAAACCCATCATATATCTTTCCAAGAGCCTTAAAATTTGCTGCCATGTCCAGCTTGGCAAATATAGCCTCAAAGAGCCATGCTCCAAACAAGTGGAGCACACTGTCTCCTGATGGTTTGTGAGCATCAGATTTGGATGACGCGGAGAATAATAGTGAGGAGGATGATGGAATACTCGCTAACTCAGAGTGGAAGGTCTCTAGATGCAGCTGACCACTGGATGATGTGCCACTGCTTGGTCTCGAGGGCAGGGTTTGAGATCTTGATGCCAACCCAGTGGCATCATTCAAACCTAACGCCCCACCAATGCTTAAGGTTTTCTGTTCGCGTTTCTTGGAAGTTGGTGGAGTTGCAGTTTTTGTGGGAGCTGGGATTGGTATGTGTTTCACTGGTTCATCCTGTGTTGTGGTGATGGTAAGAAAAGCATTTATAAGGACTGCAACTCCTTTCATTGCTTGTAAGAAGTTCTGTGGAAGTGCTTTCAAACAGAGATGAGAGGAAGGTGTAATCACTTCTTCACTTGACAAAGCAAATTCCTTGAATCTGGGAGTATCACTGATTATCTCTTTCTTGCAAAGATCCACAGGGTTACCAATTATGTGAAGTATCCGGAACCAGCATTGAATGAGGCATTCATCGCCTAAATTGACTGGCAGTTGGATATCACTCTTCCTGGAGGGTAGAGCAGGAAGGGGGAAGTTTGGACCATACATATACTGTATGACTCTTCTAGTGAGAGCAAGTGCTGTTCTACTCCAATGGTTGATCATTGCACTATGATGCCGCCATGATGTGCAAAGCTCATGCAAAGTCTTCCACATTGACGGCGATGGGAAATGATGACAGCTGGCACACAACCACACCTCAAGCAAAACACTGATCAACTTCTCACACAAATGTTCTGCAAGACCTCCAGCTGTGTTTGGTGGTGACAAGAGCATGTCATTAATTATCATCAAGAACTTGAGCAAGACCTCCCATGTCAAAGGTGACATTCTTGCTTCTGGAGCCATGACTTGAATCGTTTGCAGCACTTTGATACATAACGAAGCTTGTAACGCCAGATTACCTCCTTCTCGCCGAACGAAAAGGTTACGAAAGTGCTGAAAGATCTCTCTTGCGTACTTATCTGGCGCTTTCAGCAACGGTTCTGGAATGCCTTTCTTAGGATTTGTGAGTATCGACAGCCAGTCTAAGTAAATGTTGACACAACCCTTTACAATTTCGCCATCGCTTTCCGTCATTTGAAGCATAAGCCCGTAGCATAACACTTCCATAACCCACTCGACCTCTTTATCAGTATTCAGGGTCATATAATCGTGAATCCCTTGTTGACTAAGAGTTTTTATCACCGTGTGGACGACTTCGCTTCCAACGTTGGGAGGAAAATTTTGCAGAACACTCCTGTTGCTACGATCACGTTCTAGCGTGCTTCGAAGAGAAACCCACTCAGAATACATGGTGAATAACTGTAAGATAAGTGCAAATGCTAGCTTCAACTGTACGTAATCTGAAGGATTTCCGATCTCTCTCCTTGATCTTACTATTGTTGTATTTCTAACCGCAAGAGTTGTCCGTTGACATTAATGAAGTCTCAGTTTACACATTTCAGTCATGAACTTACCAGTGACAGGAATTGATGTCTACCTTCAAAGCAAAAGGCTGCTATATACAGAAAAAGAAAGGCGCGATGTAAATATCAGTCGCCAAATATTATTCGCCATTTTGTTTTCTTAAGGGAATATCCGCTGAGTTCACCCCGCGCGCCGACATCACACAACCCACCGGCATGTCATTGGACAGATGTATAACCATACTATTTAAAGTTTTTACACGATTAAAACAAACTTCTGCTTCTTTTTATTCCGATCACATCCAAATAAACGGTTACAAAAACAGAGAGAGAAAACAAAATACACTAGTATATATATGCTAATTCCTAAAAAAAAAAGTTTGAATAACAAAAGGAAAAGAAACACCTGGACCAATCATAGGTCAAATTAACTATTTCTGTGAAATATTTCACATTTAAAATAACAATGGCTAAACATAATATGCATAATGACAACACTATTAACTATGGTATAATGTTTCAAGTAGACTTCAAAGGTAGATTATTCTAACTTTTGTTCCTTTTCAAAGTGTAAACAAGAAGTCGTTTTTGAGGAAAAATTAAACTAAAGTTGTCTGATGCAAGATCAATCTTAAACTGTTCTTTTTTCGTTTGTTTGTTTTGTTTTGCCACCTTAGGAAGTGATTTGTTTTCCCTGACCCCACACCCTCTCTTAACTCCATCCCAAATTCGATCTTGGATTTGGATATCTGGTCTTCATCGTCCTGCATCTCCTAGCAACAGTTTCAACCTAGGTGGCTCAAGTCCAAAAGGTGTGAAGGGGGATGAGAAATGGAGAAAAGGATAACAACAGAAGAAAGACTCTGCAAGCTCAGTTAATGGGAAATACCCTACATTTTTTTTTTTTTTGAAAAACGATTCCAGAGTAATTTACACATTCTTTATTGCTGTCCATGAACAAAGCATACACAAATACTGGGTGAAACTTACAGGTCATTGACCAGAAACAATAAAATTCAATTATCTGAATGACACGATTAATCATTACTGTTCCTTTTAAATTCTTCTTTCAGCTACTTGCTGCTTGAGAAAAAAGGTTATAACTCTAAGACCTGCACTAATATCAAATTTATTAGCAAGTGTGTGTACGTATGTTTTTTTTTCTAATTTTCCTTACCCTTATCAAGTTTGGATCAAATATACATTGATGTAAAGTTTGTGCTACACCACTGCAACCACTGAAAACGTTCAACGAAATAGAGCTAGACAGACCTGTTATGACATGTATGAAAAAAATTGGACATGAATTCATTGAATACTCACCAAAATGTAGAAACTGAAAAACATGCTCATATTCTTCAGTGGAATAAAATTATGACGATTGCACAAAATCCCTTGAGTTACACTCAGATTTACATGGTTCATATATGTCATTCAAAAATAGGAAAGTTGTCAATCTTAAGATCCACCATAATGCAAATATTGCCAGATAATGCCGCATAATATGAGTGTTGAACTCAATGGCCAAACGAGACCTATCAGTGATTACTAGAACATTTGTTTTATGGCAGCTGCGATTGTCAAAAAAGTTATGCAGAGCAAAGTCAATACTCTACACCTTCAACTTCTCCTTCATTATCAATTGCGTTGTACCTGACCCAATCCCTAGCAATCGGAGCATTGAGCATTTCATCAGTGAATCCAAAAGCATCACACAATGCAAGAGCCTGTGGTGCTATTTCACGACACAGGTCAGCGGTCACCTTCCCCACTTGTGCCCCAGTCACTGCAGACATCAGCCCTGATGTGGCAAAGAAGCCAAGATCCCTCTTAATGACTGTCATCTGATAGAGATGGTGAAGTTTCTGAAGAACTGGTTGTAGACCAGGATCTGCTTTGTCAAGAGCTTTACCAAAACATTCACTGACGAGTCGTTCACCATATGAGCGTGCAGCACCTTGGACAAGATCCTGTTCCTGAAACATCCATGTGTCGAATCTTCCTTCCTTTCCAGCCTTCATCATCTTCTTTCCCAGAGATGTGAACAGTCTGTTCTCACGGGACTCCAATAGGGCCTGAAGGTATGTGCGGTCACTCAGGTCTGCGCTATCACTTGCTGCAATTTGATCTCCAGCTGGTTTAAAAACCATAAGCCTTTCGGTGGCAACTTTCTGCATCAACACTGAGTTGTCACCTTCAGCTGTCATACAAGCATGTGAAAGAGCCAAATCAATGCCAAATTTATTGCAGGAAAGATAGCCCTGTCCCCCACACCTCTCTCGGCAAGTGGCACCTGTTTCAGACACATGCCAACCAGCAATAGCCTTGATAACACAGCACATAGTCACCACATCTGCATGGTCAGATCCATCTGTAGCCTGTAAATTAAATTAAATGACATAGTATTATTTGGCATTCCAGATCTTCCTTTTTTGCAGACTCAAGGTTTATGATTCAAATCACATGGGTTGCACGTATTAAAGGTTGATGTGCTTTAACCCAAGAATTCAAAATTACCCTATTGCACTGACAAAAGTGAAAGTCAGCTACCTTGTAATCATTAACGTGGCTAATTTACCATTTCAACTTTGTTGATATATCCAAATTATTTCATTACTCCCACTGACACAGCCCCAAACAGTTTCTTTCGAAACTATCAACCTTTATATCTTGCAACAATTTCACCCAGCAGTTAAGCAATTGCTACTGTTAAGAAAACTTCATACTTGTTAACATAACTGTCAGGGAATCCTGAGGAAATACTGCAGCAGGGGAAGAGGGGAAGCTTATGATAGACCACCATCCCCTCCTGGTGGATTCACAGCACTCCTAGGCTCTCCATGCTATAGAAACCAGGATAGCCTTCAGTTGGAAGAGTCACTTAGCCCCAGCACAGACTTCTGCTTTTTTTACACATTTTTACACCACCGACGACGATCAATGCTGACTGCAACATGTCTGATACCTCCCCACTCAAAAACAAGGCATAAAAAGTTTCACCCCCCTTCCAGCCTCCCTAATAAGAGAAGACCTGATCACAATGAAAAAAAATGTCTCTTGTACATCACCTGAAAGGCCCAGCAGTCCTTGACGTAATGCATTGCAAAATCAATGGCATAGGTAACAGCCAGTAGGGGCATCAGTGCATTCTGTTGGAGCTGATACTTGAGAATGGGTGTGTCTGATTTGCCTTCAGGACCCACTGTCAGACGAGTTGCTGAGTAGCGAATAGCGATGGCTAGACAAGCTTTTGAAGCACCTGTTATTTAAGAATAAAAGACCATGAAACGAGGGGTCAGACGAGTTGCTGAGTAGCGAATAGCGATGGCTAGACAAGCTTTTGAAGCACCTGTTATTTAAGAATAAAAGACCATGAAAGAAGGGGTCAGACGAGTTGCTGAGTAGCAAATAGTGATGGCTAGACAAGCTTTTGAAGTATTTGTTATTTAAGAATAAAAGACCAGGAAACAAGGGGTCAGTCTACATATATGACAAAGCCCATAATATGCTATAACTGTTCACCATTTTTCTAGTGCAAGCACAGTCTGTATCTCTGCTCCAAATCTGACCATAATAAATTGTGCAATTAGATTTCCTAGCAGTATTTTGCATTTGGGCTGAAAATGATTTGATTCAAAATCTAATTGTATCAGAAGATGAACAGACTGAAGTAATTCATACTCCTTGGTAGCAAGCACAGTGGTATCCATTATATGAATCATCTTCAAGTTGGTAACAATGATGATTGGTCATTATACATACCTTGAGCCATACTGGCTATACATAAACGACCAGCGAGAAGTTGATCTGCCACGGCCAGAAAACGATTGCGGATGCTGCCTTTAATTTTTGTTGTGTAGGTTCCATCCTCAGCAACATCAGAAGACAAGTTGAGCAGGTTTTCTCTGGGTACACGGACATTATCAAAGTAGAACTTGGCATTGTCCACTCCGTTTAGACCCATTTTATGTCCCATGTCATGAATCTGAACTCCAGGCATCACATTCAGATCCTTATCCCGAATTGGAACCAGTACACCATGGATACCTGAAATAAGAGGGGCAAACATCTTTTAATTTAGAGCCACTGTGACAACCAATTGATGTTTCCAAAACCTTTCCACAATACCCTCATTGCAATATACTCTGTTGACCCCCAAGCAACAGGGAAGCTACTTTCCTCTTTTTTTAATTGCATTTAAAAATATTACATAAAGGTCACGATCCTTTAACAAGTCAATATGATTCATGTATAAATGTATTATATAGAGGAAGGAAGGAAGGAAGGAGGAGGACGAAGGGAGGTAAGGAAGAAGGAGTGAAAGAAGAACAAGGAAGGGAGATAAGGAGGAAGGAAGGAGGAGGATAAAGGGAGGTAAGGAGGAAGGGGTGAAAAAAGGAAGGAGGGAGGTAAGAGGGAAGTAAGGAGGAAGAGGAAGGGAAGTAAGGAGGAGGAAAAGAGAAAGGAAGGTAAGGGAGAATGAAGGAGGGAGGAAGGACAGTAAGGAGAAAGGAGGGGGAGGAAGGAAGGAAGGCAGGGAACAATAGAAGGAGCAAGGTAAGGAAGGGAGGAAAGACAGAAGAAGATAAGGAAGAAAGGAGGTAGATAGTGAAGTAAGAAGGCATGAATGAGTGGGAAGGGAAGTAAAAGGAAGGAAGGATAGAGGAAAAGAAGGAGGGAGGAAGGAAAGGTAGATAGGAAGGCAGAAGGGAGGTAACAAAGGAAGGAGGGAAGAAGGGAGGCAAGGAGAGGAAGTTCAGAGAGAGATGAACAAAAATGAGGGAGGCAATGTGGCAGGGGAAAGGGGGGACAAGGTAGAAGACAAGAGAGTGAGAGAGAGAGAAACAAACAGAGGGACCAACTGACATAATTTATGATCCCTAGAATAACATAACCACCTTGATTGACACCATCAATGTACAGTTGTGAGAAGACAACAACATGATGGGCATGGCAGGCACCATTGGTGATCCAATATTTCTGTGCCAAAGGAGTTGGCGTATTGACGATAAACTCCTTGGTCTCCTTGTCATAGGTGGCTGTTGTTTCCATCTGTACTGCATTGTTTCCATATCCAAGTTCTGTCAAACCAAAACAGCCCACATCCTCTAGTGTGTCAATACCCTGAATTTTTTTCAAAAAAACATTTCTTTTAGCACAATATACATAAGAGGAGTTGCTGAGGTCACTTACAAAGTTAAATTCCCTTTTCTGGTTATTTAGAGTCTCATTTATTCATTCCCCTTAAGGCAATAGACCACTTTCATAAATGGCTGCCCTATAAATATTCTTTTGTTTAAATTCAAATTAGCCCTACTGGCCTCGCTTGAGATAATGTATTCTTTTGAATTTTGTACTGGAGAACAAGGCCAGTAGGGCTACTTTAAATTTAAACAAAAGAACATTAATCCGGCAGCCATTTATGAAAGTGTTCTATTAAGATAGTGTCCCAATGAAGGATTAGTCATAAGAGCAGGCCTGATTTTGGAGACCATTGGAGACCCAAATGTTCAGCTAGCTAACACTGAAACAGTCTTATAATTTAGGATTTGACTAAAGTGAAAAGCTGGTTAGCAGCAAAATTCTCCCCATGAAAGGGACAAGTCTACACGTAGTCCACCTGTTTAATTATGACAAACACCCTTCTTGTTTACTGACATAAGTACCCAAAAAGCTTTGCATGTGAAATGATTTCACAGGAGGAAACAATTACTTTAAAGCTCTAACTCCCAAGATCTGACTGTAAATTCTCCCTTCTAGTTGCTACATATTTCCTTGTAAATTGGTTATGAGAATTTGGTGTTCAATCAAGGTAACAACTTCCACCTGATAAATTTTAGAATTCTTACCTCTTGTTTGCCAGATAATGTATGGATATTACAGGGAGAAGTTACATGTTAATCACTTCTGAGAGTTAAAGGGTACGAGTCAGCTTAGCAAGATTTCCTCACAGCCCTATAATTCATTATGTGCATACAGTTCTCAAGATAAAAAAAAAAAAAAAAACAGTGGAAAAACAGTAGGTCGTCTTTGGGACTAGGGCTTTGTATTAGAATAGTTTGGGGTTAAACGGCAATTTTTCCATTACCTGCAACAGTTTATCATGGTGTCTCTCTGTACCCAGCTTCAATACAGTACCACCAAACAAGTTAAACTGGACTGTCATCTTTGTAGTCATTGCAGCATCCACTACAGCGGCCAGTTCGTGGGCTGCGAAGATCCAAAGAGGGTTGTTCCTGAAGTCTAACACGGAAATAAATCCTTGATCGCAGAGTTTCTTCAGTCTTTTCAGAGCCAATTCCCTTTCTTCGTCGATGGAAATGTTGTATTTTGGGGTCATCAGGGGATCCTCTGAAAGAATTTTACGAAACTTCGCTCTTTTCTCTTGGTTGTCGTGATCCAGCAGGTATGTCATTTGCGACACATTAAACGATGGTTTCCCCCATCCATCTCTTAGTTTATATGGATCCAACTCCAACTCATCTTGTAGTTTTCGAGAGTCCAGCTGTGCTGAGGCCGCAGATCTCGAAAAGCTACGAGTCTTGTAAAACTTGGGTCGATATTGTGATTGTTTGTTTATGGGCTCACTAGTCGACCTAATGCTCTGCACAGCCAGAGCCCTTCGAACGGAAACTGTAGATAAGGTACGGTTAAATCCTCTCGCGACAAGTACACCCGCAGAAAGCATGATTAAACCTCAGGGAGCTAACGCTCTTGAAGCTTTTCCACACGCCTAACCGAGAGTCCTAGGACTTTGTTCGTTGTTATCGACGTGACACTATTTACAGTGTG